TAAAGAAAATTCAAAGGCAACTATAAGCAGTGTAGAACCTTCAAAATTCTTTTTTACCTTTTCATCAGCTGACATGCACTGGCCTGAACTACATGCCCTCTTGAAAAGTGATGGCAGCAATACTCCAGAAAACAGACGTCAGAATATTATAAACAATCCTCATATCACTGATTAGTTCTTTACCCAACACTTACAGTAAGGGTACTCGAACCGTGAACACTTGAGCGTTTTTTTATGCATTTTTTGACGGATTATCCAATGAGAGTTCTCCATTCAAACAAAAGGATTCGTGTTTTTTGGTGCTGTCCAATCACAGCGGTGGCAGGAAAATACGATGTTAGTTTTTCATGTCAGTGTGCCGGTGAAATTTTCGAACGTAATATGGCCTACGCGCCTGCTTATTTTGCTGGTAAGTAGCATCAAATAATCCTTGAAGTTATTTACTGGTACTGAGCAGGTTTTTTGTTGTTGTTCTGCAAAGGTGAGTGCAAACTAGCCGTCAATCGACATCAAGGGATCTACGACAATGGCAAAGTACTGCCACAAGTTTACCGTGAAAGAGTGCTTGATCTACACCATCAAGGTTTCTCGCAAAGGCAAATTTCGCAAAACATGCGAGTTAGCGTTGGATACGTCAACAAAGTCGTACAGTTTTACGAAAACAACAACTCGTCGCTGGCTGCGCCACGGACAACACCGGTGCGGAATAAAATGTCAGCTGATGTTGTTGAATATTTGGAGTCTGAGAAATTATGCAAACCTAGTATGTATACAAGTGAACTTCAACAGCATTTGTTACTAGATGGAGTTTCTCCTCCTGGTCAATTACCATCCACCTCTGCAATAAAAAAGTGCATTCGGGAAGACTGCAGAATGACAAAGAAAAAGGTTTCCCAAGTGCCTAAAGAATCATTGTCAGAAGAAAATACTGAATACACCGATTTTTATCTTGATCAAATTGCACATCACGACTATACAAAACTTCATTTTTTTGACGAATGTAGTGTAATTGTAAATTCGGGAAATCGCGTGTATGGCAATTCCTACATTGGCAAACCAGCGATTGAAATTCAGCGATACGCATCGAACGCTAATTATACACTCAACTTCCTTCACTCTGCAAACGGAGTGGATTACTTTGATGTTTTGAGAGGCCCATCTAATGGCATGGAGCTGCTGAATTTCTTCAATGAAGCTCTGTCAATAAATAGGATAGATGGTTCAACAATTCTGGAGAATGGTGACGTAGTTATAATGGGCAACGGCGGGTTCCATCACGGACATTTTACAGAGGCAGTATTACGTGACATTCTTAATGAACATGGTGTTCGCCTGCTTTTCCAGCCCGCTTACTCTCCCCATCCAAACACTTGCGAGTTTTGCTTTCACCCAGTAAAGTGCTATCTGAAACAAAATTCATCTTTAACAGCTGATGAAACTGAAATAGTGATAGGCGAAGCTGAGTCAAAGATAAGCCCAGCAAATTCTATCGCATACTTTCGAAAATGCGGCTACGTCTGATTGACGACTAAGTTATCATGCCACTGCTATTTTTATCAGCCAGTTTTCCTTCACAACAACAAAAAAAATCGCCTGCTACTAAACTGTAAAAAATTTTCAAGCTCAATTAGCAAAATTGACTGACTTTTTATCTCCCAAAGAAGACTTTATTGAATAGAAGATGTGTAGACTACATGTGATTGGCAGCTGTTACCTTGCACTCTATTTTTATCTTACCCGTGAGAATAAACAAACTTGGGCTTGCTTCTGAACTAAAAGCATAAATTGACAAGTACGCTCTATAAAATACGATCTCTATTGAATGAAAAGTGATATCATTCAAACTAATTCTTACTTTTACAATAAGAAGAAAACTATATTTTTCACAACGCAAACTATGAAATCGTAGTACACAAACTGAGACTAGGCACATGTCAATAAGTGGATTTCAAGCCGGTATGAAATTTAAAAACACAACAACCCGAACAATAAAAACGCTACATAAAGAACAAATCAAATGCAGTGTACTGTAACCACTAGTATAGAATGAATAAAATACACCTGTTACAGTTTCATGCGTTTCAGTTCATTGTACCCTCAGAGGGTCAACAATTCCGTGTTTGTACTCTTTGATAATACTTGGCAGTCTCTAATCGTATGTTTCCTCTAATGGAACTTTATTTCTCAGCGCTCGCTGGAGAATCATCAAGTCTCTATCCAAGGCAGAACGATCCAAGTACGTTGCGGCATTTTGCTTCCTTAAACGGGGTCGCATGATGGCAAAAAAACTTGACTTAGCTCGCTGGCGGGAAGAGATAAATACTTCGTGGTCGCTTTTAACTTTCGCATACTTCTGTTCAAGTTCTTTCAGTTCATGCCGTAAAGTGCGAATTTCGGCCAATAGATGGGTGCTTTTCTTTTATCTTGCAAACGTTGACATCATTACAAGGCATTTGCGTGCATTTCGCTCTGTTGTGACCTGACCAATGGCAGACAGCGCATACTTTTCCACGCGAAACTTGTGGGAAGTCTTCCAAGGCTTTCTGTTTACCTTGAATGTGATTTTTGGCACTTTCAACTTGCAATTCCAGTAGCTTGAGATTTTCTGAAAGTTCTAAAGCTCTTCGGTCCAATGGACTTTGAAAAGTTTCAGAGCTTTGATTTGAAGGGGTCGCGATCGCTTCAAACCCAAAATTGGTTGCGGCCTGAGATGACTGCTGCTGCGGAGTTGTATCCACCTATCGTTCAACGCCGCTTTCACATGCTGTCATATTCAGTCATTTTGGCTCAAGGTGGTTGGGCCGACAAGCAGTTTCTGTTTTGATGTTCTTCAGCTCGGCTTCCAATAAACGTCTTTCTGTGAGCAACAGCTTATCAGGAGAGGGGAAAAACAAGTCCAAATCCTTTGATTTCACGTAAGCCAGTGATCTTCTTGAATGAAATCCTCTGTTTTCAAACTCGGGCGAAAGTCGTTCAAGTTTCATGGATGGCGATAATGATTTATGCCAGATATACACTTTGCTTTTTTTCAGCCATGATCTCAATCTCCCACCAGAATAGCAACAAAAAGAAATAAATGTACGAGCCTCGTTACGAAGCTACTTCATAATTGGATAATGCCAAAAAGGCAGGAAAAAGGTCTAAGAGTTCATGGTTCGAGTGCCCTAACTGTAAAGAACTTTATTAAGTACTGGTTATATAACTGATTAGATGCCAAGTGGCACTGTTATAGATTTGTTGAAACCAAGCTGGGGGAAGTATTCATTGCCCTGGTGTTGCCAAGCTGAAAAATAATCCAGAATTAAGCAAACTGTGAGAAAGAGCACTGAAAGGCTATTAAGCTGAGAAATCTCTGACAGTGCAGAGCCAGCAAATTTAGCTTAACTCAATGAACAAATATAGGATGGTAGAAAGGCTTTATATGATATTTGCAAGTACTTGGATTGGTTGCTATCCACATACAACCCAGATCCACCTGATAATGGAACTTGGATAAAACCAATAGTTCATTCTTGTCAACAGCATCACAAGGACATTCAAAACTCTGATACTGATTATATAGATTTACTGAACACTGTACAATGACACACATCCTGTAGTTTAACTTACTGTTTTAGAAAACAGGAAAATGAATCAGACCTTACATGTGGATTTCATTTTCCATTTCAACCTTCCATGAGTGCAAAGCTAAAATTTGAACCCATTAACTCTAAACTACAATTTCTCGATACAAAATGAAGGTGATAACCAAGAGGAATGATCTAAGGCTACATAATCACCAGCACCTTCAACTGCAAGGATGGAGAGCTAACTGTGACATTCAAGTAGTCATTGATTATCGTGCATGTGTTGAATACCTCAAAAAATATACTTCAAAAGGAGAGCCATGCTCCTCTGTTTTAAAAACTGCCTTCAATTCCTTTGTTCGTAACTGTAATAATTCCAGCAGACCCACAAAACTTATAAAGAAAGTGATAATGAAGTCACTTGGTCAAAAGGACTTTTCTGCACAAGAGACTATGCACCACTTGTTGTTATTGAAACTGTAACAATAGGCATTGTTTAGTAGTAGCCTTGTTTCAGTATTTAAACTAAAAGGACGGACGTTTGTAATAACAAGCCAGTTGATGTAACACTTGATGGCAGATATTAAAACGATTCCTTTGCAACTAAACAAAAACTACTCAGCTCATCATTTAATGTAGTTACCATTAGTTTGGATGGTTCTTGCAAAATTAAAACAAATTCTGCCAGGGGAAATGTCGGAACAGACAATTCACTTCTAGATGTTTATGCTAAGCGTGCCATGTATGTTGAAAGTATTCCTGATATTATGACTTTAAATTTTCTTAATTTTGCCCCCAAATACAAAACTGCTAACAACAAACTAACACCTCAGCCAGAAAATACTGAACCTAGAGTTTTCCCGATTTATTCTTGGAATAAGAAAAAAAAACTGTAAATATCAACTGCTTACATATAAACCCTGGCAGACAACACAACACAACGCTTGGGGTGATCAGCCAGGTAATGATGAAATATATGTCACAAAATGAAAATAATTTCTGGAAACTCCTTGTGCTAAAAAAAAAATGTTCCTGACTGGCATGACAAGTTACAAAGTGTTCAAAATTACAGTGATGATGACACAATTGCTAAAGAAACCACACAAGAACTTCCTGCACATTAAGAATGGATGCTCTTATCAGATCTCCTTCGTGGATCATTTGCTACAACTGATCAACCACAGCAAATTGTTAACTCGCATCATAACTGGTAATCAGACACACTTAAATATTAAAAAAATCAAATAAGAGAAATGTCTTCATGGATTAAAACTAACAAAGATTCATTCAATTAAACAACTAGGACAGAACAAAATATAGATATGTCTACTTTTGGTGATATGCAGGAGTGTGCTTATGATATTATTAAGGGGCATTCAGAGCAGCATTATCCAAAGGATCCACCACTGCTTATAATTTTTGGTGGTGGTGGAACAGGAAAAAGCTACCTTATTAGTGTTCTTAAAAACCTACTTCAACTATCATGTGCAGTGACTGCCACAACTGCCAAAGCTGCATTTAGCATACATGGTTGTACTATCTATTCAGCATTAACACTTCCTGTCAATGCAAATGGCAACAAAGACTTAACTGGGCAAAGCCTCAGACTACATAATACTCTACAAGAAGCAAGTTCCATTATAATTGATGAATACTCAATGTTAGGCCAAAACATTATTGTCTGGGTTGACAAAAAGTGCAGGCAAGCTACTGATTTAACCGATCAATTCTTTAGTGGAAAGTCAATTATATTAGTTGGTGATCCTATGCAATTACCTCCAGTAGTAGAAAAGCCTCTCAATTACTCTAAGCCCTCCAGCACTCTACAAGAACAAGGTCATTTAGCCTGTTTCATGTTTAACACTGTTCTTAAACTAACACTGAATCAGAGAGTAAAGGCTTCACCCCAGAACAAGCTACATTTAGAGATTTATTGAACCAATTGCACACGGGAGATTGCAAAAAAGATGACTTGAACCTTCTCTTTTGTTGGCAACTGATAATCAACTTCCTGGCCTATCGCAATTCTGCACACAAGTTCTGGACTTGAGCCACTTGTCAGTTGATCCAACATTTAATTTTGGAAATTTTAGCATAACACCGACCTCTTATAGAGACGTCCTTTCAAAATCTGTAAAGACTAGAAAGTGTCCTGTTTTCATAGGGCCTATTTTCATCCACCGAACGAATTTAAGCAAACTTACTTATAGTGCTTCAACAAATTGAAGAGCATTGTAATGGCACTGGAAGATCTAGTAGCGTTTGGAACAGATGGCGAGTACAGCCTTAGCGAGGCACGATCCACCTGCTTTACAAAGGCAACTTATCTCTGCTGCCTCTCACTTCGAAGGTAACGTTAAAATTAAACCATTTGCATGTAACAGACTTCAGACAATACCTGTTGGAAGTATTTAGGAAGCAGGAAGGACAAACCTATCAACCAGGTCTCCTAGATGCGACTACTCGAGATGAATTTGATACAATTGTTCTCTCATTGAAACAGCCTTGGGCAGAAAGGGACAGGCTTACACAGTAATTCTAAATTCTAAGACTGGATGATGGAAAGGGCCTCCATGATGAAGAATTTGCATGACTGCGGATGTGCAAACAAAGGCAGGCCTTAGTTCTCAACCAGACAAATTTTATACAAATGACAGCAAAAACATGAGTGCCAGACTTCGACATAAAACAAAGGGCAAAGAAGTGGGTGAAACAGCATTCGCCAAAGCCATGAAAGAAATGATTGAGGATGACCAAGAGACTTATAGTAACCCTATTTGGAGCCTCTTAGAGATACAAACTCCAAGTGCAATTTAAAAGATTTCAATTACTTGTGGATGAGTTTGAACAAATGCCTGTGCCTGTGGATGAGTTATGAACAAATGCCAAAGAAAGGATTATGTCCAGAAGATATGACCTATCCATAGACAATATCTACGCTGGAAATTCCCCTCATGCCAACCTCTTGTCAACAAAAACGCAACTATTGTCTGGAGCAGATACATCCTTACAATTATTGCTTCCACATAATTGCATAACAGGAAGTCTAGATCTCCACATCCCTGAGTGGATCTGGAAGAAAGCTGGTAGAATACTCCCCCAATCAAACACCATCTTCCCAGCACCCTTGAGGGACTCCAAAATAAGGACATTCTCCATTATGTCTGAAAGAGGGAGTATTCCACACTTTGTTCAAGTGAACACAAACCTTAAAGCCACCTGTAAATGCACAAATTTCAAACCAAAACAAATATGTTGAAGGTACCCTTGACAAGTTCGTCACATGGTACAAGGGGCAGAAGATCAAGGGTGGACTCTCATCAGTGGTGGCTATTAACATTGACACAAGAGCATCTGGTCAAAAGCAAGGTCCAAAGAAGCAAAGAAAAACAAGAGAAAATGTTGACTTTGTCCTACCTATGTCTTCCTCGTTTCTAGACATGGCAACAACAAGTGTGACTTCAAGTTTGACTTCAGTTGCTACTTGAGGTGCGACCTCAAGTGCCACTGTACCCATTTCACAAACAGCTATCCAGCAGTCATTTGATTCAACACCATTTTGGCTTGGAATGCTTCATTCTCATCATGGCAGCCGCAAACACAATTGCAGTTAAATGATCTTGCTTCCCACTCATCAACCAGTCAATTACTGTATCATGGCACGGATCTACAGCCACAGCATCAGGCTTTTCCCCTGACCAGCAAGGTGTCTCACGTGGCCACGACAATGGGGGGTGGCTAAAATCGTCCTTTTAGACACTCAGGGTCATTACTATAGTCTTTTACGACATCCATGTTTAGCCAAAGGCTGTCCCTAGAGATGATTAAGCAGCAGCATTCATTTAGCGGTATGCATCCACTCAAATCATCTGTGCCCCAAGGTTTTCCTTTAGTTCTGAAACCCGTCATTCCTGAATCTTCTAGTCCTTTCTTTTTAATGAAGCTAAAATGAAATATGTCAAAATGTAATGGATGTGAAGGATGCTTTCAAAAAGACTCTCAGTCTGATGATAGCATGGCAGTCATTGGACGTTTAAAGGTAGACTGGTATCCAAATCTATATTTAGATGGCACCAAATGATGGAAGTTAGGAAGAGCGCAAAGATGATACTACCATATTAACATAGCATGTCTGTGCACATGTTGTCACTGGTTCCATGCAGGCAACTTGCGAGGTCTGTTGAGGAGGACTGCATTACGTAATTGCCCCCATTGGAAACGTTGCACGGGAAAATGGAAATGAGCTAGAAAAGAGAAAGAGAGCATATGTAACTTCACGCAGGCCTGTAATCATGTAATTCCCTGTGTACACCGAGTTCGCAAGTATTATTTCTTGCTCAGACAACCGAAATGTAGTGCTATTCATCGAAAAAGAATAAACATAATTAGTAGTCAGGTTTTTAATTTGTGTTAAGACTGAAATGCGGCAGATTTACGAGGTTTGACCATCAATTTCCGACAGAATTGCTCACGATCGAGTGGTTAGTATAAGCTTACGGATAAACACTTCATGTTCTTTTGATACGCAAATGCAGCCCTTGCTCTTTACTGACGAAAAGAGCATTTCATTACTTTAAAACAATACTATTTGTATCTCCGTCGTCTCTAAACAGATGCAAAGCGAAATTTTACAACTCCCATTGGGGAATTCGTCATTTCAGATCTTAAGAGAACGAAGCTGGCAGTGAGCTTTTGCAACCTCATTCCCAGGTCATTATGCCCACAAAGCATCAAGGGTACCCCACTTTTCCCGGGTGATGCTTTTCAATGGGCGTGATTCTGTAATGAAGGGAGGCCTGTCTCTTTCGGAAGAGCTTATTGCTTTCTGAGTTTTCCAGCTTACCCTTTTTGGCCTTTACTACTTTAAAATTCATAAATGGCACTCCATTTTCATCCTTGTAAAGAGATATTACACATTTTGGCTAAAATCTGAATCATGAAGTCAACTTAATTTCAATGAGTTTGAAACTTCACTCTACATAAGAACACTTTACTGGAGTATAATGCTATATTTATTAACTGTCTTTCTCATACACATGATTACCATATGTGTTAGCCCTTTAACAACCAAGATTTCATTGGTAATTCTCCTTACTGTAAGTCCTACAATTTATGTGATGTTAGTTTGGAGAATTTGGAATTAGATAAACTAACAGTTCCCTTACTGATATTTTTCTTTATTCTCATGACTGGTCTGCTTGTAATTGTACTGATATTGTTGGGGGAAATTCTTTCCAGGTCACTGCTGGGACTTAAAGGGTTAAATGGGGGATTTCATTACACTGTAATAATTAAAATGTTCTTATGCTTTCACATGTAACAAAAAGTTGCAACGAGAATGTGATGTTATGAAACACTTGCCATGGAAAAACCTGTTGCTGGTAGCTTATGTCTTTAATGTTTAAATTTTCATGGGAAATGCTTTCCTTTGAAAGTGGGGATACAGAAGTTTTCAAATCTGCTAGAAATAAGCTGTTTGTAAGTAATAAAAAGCAAATTGACAATCATACCTTAATGCTTGATATGCTTCACTCACATGTCAGTTGCTAGTACCTACCATTTTTGGTGTCTTTAAAAATATTTTTCGGTGTGGTTGTTGTTCTTTGTTCTTTGGGGCAAAATTTAAAGCTACTAAAGGCACTGAACTTAAATTTTTTTGTACACAAGGCACCCTCCAAGGTGGAAGAGTAGAAGACAATATAGTGATGTTTACTAAGCACTTGCACTTACCACAATCATATATTCAAGTAATACTCTACATTTATAAAACTGATTAATGATGTCTTTAATAACTGTACACATTTTATATGCTCCTTGCATTTGTTGGCAACGATAGTTAAGATTGTTAGGAAAGCAAACAGATGAACAGAAGTCAGTGAAGTGAGGGAAACTACAAACTTTACCATATGGTAGACGAAATGATCATAGAATACCTAAGAAGGGAAACTTGAATTGTGCCAGCCAATTTCCTCTATTTTTTTTTATTTTGATCAAATAAAATTTAATCATTTGTAGGGTTTGCTTACAATGTGTCATATTACTAGTGTGGAGTTGATTCATCTCAGATGTCAGCTGGTAAAAGATGGATACTAAAAATAGATGACCACAAGAAAAAGTAAACATCTTACACAGTGGTGGCATGATTGATTAGTGATATTTAAAATGACAGAAGCAGGAAAAACACATTGAGCTTTTTCCTATTCCTATTTATTTATAAGCTTGGCTTATAAGTAAATACATCCCAATTTGGTAGAGTTTCCAAGCACTGGAAAATATTTTTTTCAAAAACTTTCTGCTTTAAGCCGAGGCCCCTTCTAGATCCCAAATTTTAACTCACTTCAGTTTTAATTTGTGTAAAAATCACTCAACTTATAGTCGAACAAATATGGTAGTATACATGAATATTAACTGGTACCATCAGATCTAAGAATATTCAAAAGAATGTAAAATTTGTTAAAAAAATTAGAACTCACAAGCTCAGTGGAAACTGAGAGTGAGCGAGACTGATAGTGACTGTGTTATTTGAGTAAATATCTAGAAAAGGATAAAAGGTAAGATATTTTTTGCACTACTCTCTTCGTTTAATTTTATAGCTTCTTAAGCAAAGACATCTATGTTCTTGCTCTGTACATTATGTGGATGCCAATTGACTTAACTTTCATCCATCAAAGTGCAAAAAATGTTCTCATCATCTGAGTGCCCTAGCATTAAAGGGGAGGAGGCAGGTCAAAGTAAACACATGAATTAAAATGGAGGACCCATGTTAATTTCAGTCCTAATTGACGGAAGATCGTTGCTTTTTCAGTTTCCCACCCTCAAATATAAACTCACATATCTTGCAACCAATTTCGTATGTCAATGGTTAGTTTGAGTATGAGCATTGGAAAGAAACACCATACACTAAATCAAAGCTTAGGATTGATAATTTACAAAGGCT